GTCTTAGCCAATTAGTCACATATCCATATTAGTTCTACGCTGCTATTTAGAACAGATTTATACTTTACGTATCTATAGGCTCTTTTCTGGTTCTGTTGTACTCAGGCTACACGTTTACTAGATTTTTATACACTGACTCACCAAAATCCCCATGCAATAAAAGGGTGAACATGCCTGCCAACAAGAAAAGTGATCTGCATAGCTAAATAGCTATGAATAAACAAGTTTCAAAGGAACGCAAAAGGCATTATATATCACTGCATCTTTAAAGCAGGAGCCAATAAGATTGCGTGACATTGCCCGTTTTGTCTGTAGTCACTGCCATTGACACTCACCTCACCACCCATATTGATGGACAATAGTGGATTATTATTTTATTTTTTTGCTCATGTTTTGTGTCCCTGCCAATGTACATGGTGTGGAGCAAGAGGGCCAATCTAGAATAAAGCTGCTCTACATCTTACTATATATAGGGTGAGGTAGAGGCGAACAATGACTACAAAATTCAAAGTATAATCAAAGAAAATTAGACCTGTGCTGCAGATACTCCACACTGAAGTCCAAACAGTGTATATACCACTAAAAAACAAACAAGAGTCCTGCGCATCCAGTATACAGGTGGTACTCGAAAAATTCAAATATCGTGAAAAAGTTCATTTATTTCAGTAATGCAACGTAAAAGAGGAAACTAATATATGAGATAGACGCATTACATGCAAAGCAAGATAGTTCAAGCCGTGATTTGTCATAAGTGCGATGATTATGGCTTACAGCTCATGAAAACCCCAAATACACAATCTCAGTAAATTAGAATATTACATGAAATCAATAAAACAAGGAGTGTACATAGAACAATATCAGACCTCTGAAAAGTATAAGCATGCATATGGACTCAGTACTTGGTTTGGGCTCCTTTTGCAGCAGTTACTGCCTCAATGCGGCGTGGCATGGAAGCTATCAGCCTGTGGCACTGCTGTGGTGTTATGGAAGACCAGGATGCTTCAATAGCGGCCTTCAGCTCTTCTGCATTGTTCGGTCTCATGTCTCTCATCTTTCTCTTGGCAATGCCCCATAGATTCTCTATGGGGTTCAGGTCAGGCGAGTCTACTGGCCAATCAAGCACTGTAATCCCACGGTCATTGAACCAGGCTTTGGTGCTTTAGGCAGTGTGGGCAGGAAAAGGAAGTCAGCATCCCCATAAAGCTCATCTGCTCTAAAATTTCCTGCTAGACGGCTATGTTTACCCTGGACTTAATGAAGCACAGTGGACCAACACCAGCAGATGACATGGCTCCCTAAATCAACACAGACTGTGTAAACTTCACACTGGACTTCAAGCATCTTGCAGTGTGTGCCTCTCCATTCTTCCTCCAGACTCTGGGTCCTTGGTTTCCAAATTAGATGCAAAAGTTGCTCTCATCAGAAAAGAGGACTTTGGACCCCTGAGCAACAGACCAGGTCTGTTTTTCTTTAGCCCAGGTAAGACGCTTCTGACGTTGTTTGTTGTTCAGGAGCGGCTTGACAAGAGCAATATGACATCTGAAGCCCATGTCCAGCATCCATCTGTGTGTGTTGGCTCTTGATGCACTGACTCCAGCCTCAGTCCACTCCTTGTTAAAGTCCTCAACAGTTTTGAATGGCCTTTTCCTGACAATCCTCTCCAGGCTGCGGTCATTCCTGCTGCTTGTGCACCTTTTTCTTCCACACTTTTCCCTTCCACATAACTTTCTATTAATGTGCTTTAATACAGCACTTTGGGAACATCCAACTTCCTTCGTAATTACCTTTTGAGGCTTTCCCTCCTTATGGAGGGCGTCATTGATGGTTTTCTGCACATCTGTCAGGTCAGCAGTCTTCCCCATGATTGTGATTCATACTGAGCCAGACTGAGAGACCATTTAAAGGCTCAGGAACACTTTGCAGGTGTTAGGATTTACTTAGCTGATTAGAGTGGGATACTGTGAGCCTAGAATATTGCACCTTTTCACAATATTCTAATTTACTGAGATTGTGGATTTGGGATTTTCATGAGCTGTAAGCCATAATCATTGCGCTTATGACAAATCACAGCTTGAACTATCTTGCCTTGCATGTAATGCATCTATCTCATATATTAGTTTCCCCTTTTAAGTTGCATTACTGAAATTAATGAACTTTTTCACGATATTCTAATTTTTCGAGTATCACCTGTAGGTGTGCACACCCAGGTGCTACCACAATTTATTTGAGGACAAAGTTAAAGTAGCAAACGTTTTGGGCAGCAGCCCTTTCTCACATTAGCATTGAGAAAGGGCTGCTTCCCAAAACGTTTGCTGCTTTAACTTTGTCCTCAAATAAATTGTGGTAGCATCTGGGTGTGCACACCTATACTGGATGCGCAGGACTCTTGTTTGTTTTTTGAATCTCTACATCATAGACCTCCAATATGCTATGTTTTTTAAACTTTCTTTTCATAATTTATTTTTTATGTTTTTATATTAACCATGACAGCTTGATAAACTTTGACTTTGAAGGTCAGCTGGTTAAGAATAATTTAACTTGAAATGCAAAGGGTTAGTTATAGTAGGCTGTTTTTCAAGTTGACGTTTTCATACACAGCTATTAATGAATATCTCTGTTATTGGTTGATTTCATGAAGCCAACTTGAATCGACTTGAAATGACTTTTGTCAACTGGCTTTCCTTGATTAGTTAGTTGACAAGTCACATATTTGTAAACAGACCCTTTAATGTGTCTTCACTGCGCATACTTTCATCTTCAGGAATCAGGACATAAATCAAACAATAAAAAAAAAAATGTTTTTTCATCACTATACTAAAACACCAACATATGTGAAACTTGTAAAAGCATAATTTTAAAAGAAGAAAAAGTGTAGTGAAAATGTGTCAAAAAGTTTACCATTTTATAAAAAAAAATTATGTATTATATCTAGCAGCTGTAGATAAGCATCTCAAAACTCTACTTGTACACAGATATAGTTATTAAGCAAAGTATATACATTTTAAAGGGCCACTAGGGACACCCAGATAGCTACTAGAGACACTAGCCTGTGAGAATCGAGTCATACTCTTGGGCAGCATTTGATTGGGGCAACATGTCATTTCCTGCGCATGTGCTCCAGCCTCCAAATGCTTTCCCTATGGGTTAGGAAAATATGTTTGTATTCCAAACATTATAATTATATATATAAGTATATTTACTAAACTAAGAATTGTGGAGGCTGAATTCTGCAGCAATATAAAGCTCTTACCATAGCTAGCCTTCACACGTCACTTGCGATAATGTCTTTTCCAATCATTCATTCATTTTATTTATTTTTTTTTTTAAATAAAAAAAATCCTCCCATTATTACAGTGAGTGTGCCCGGTGATCCTCATACAGCCTTATTTGATGGCCAGTAATTTTTGTATAGTGATACATTTTCATGTCCACATGTGGCCATTTCCCCAATGATTAACCTAGACAGATGAAAACAAATATCATCAATCTTCTCCTAAATACTGATTTAAAAAAATAAATCATTATGTGATGCATTATTTTTCTTTTACAATGGTATATACTGGAATATATTGCTGTTGATATCATCATGTGTGATGGTGCTGTTTTCACTCATAGAAATGGTTTACTTGAGAAAGGAGCAATGATGTTAGTGTTGATTTGAGTTGCAAAGTTCCATATTTAGCATACTCAGCTACATGCACACTTTAGCTATATTGGGATTTGGATGGATGCCAATTGTCAGAAACACAAATTGACAAATGACTTTCATCCTGTAATCATAAGAAACCAAATTGTCAAATGGACAGAAATGTCCCTGCAATCTGTTAATTCAGAATTGTTGAGTTAATTACACAAAAGGAGCTCCAATGTCTCTGTTTGGAATTACCAGGTTAACCATGATGTTAGGATGGAAGTGGTGAGCAGTCATCCCCAGTCTTGTGTAATGGGGAATCAACATTAAAACACAGGGGACACAGCACATGATCTCCCCATGTTCAAACTGAAGAAACAGACATGTATGCTGCTTACCACACACAACTCTAGTCTCTAGGGTTGAAGGATTGGTTTCAACAGTTTAACCTGACCAAAGGAACCCCTCTATGTTTCTCACCCATTAAAGGGACATTATAGTCACCAGAACAACTACAGCTTATTTTATTTGTTCTGGGGAGTATAATCATTCCCTTCAGGCATTTTGCAGTAAACACTGTTTTTTTTAAAAATTCTTTATTTTTGAGAGTGCATTGTTAATTACGTAAGTCAGTAATGCCATAAATATTACAGTAGTAGGTAATTGGTGACATTGTGGTGACAGATTCAAGATGCGTTGCACATTTTTTTTTTTTTAATAAGAAATTCAAGAGTAAACAAAGACAGGCGTAGCAACATAAAAGAAACCGACAGGCTATACATGCTACCTAAAACACTTTAGCTTGAGATAATATTACTAGGGTTGGTCATATAATGCTAGTGATTAATATTGTGACAGACAGGCTTGTCATGCTCCGCAAGCAGATAACAGACAAGTAGAGCCTACAATGCATATAAACAGGTTGAGAACACTTAATGAGACTTGCACAATTTAGTTAGTAAATTAGTTACTCATGGGTTAACTTTTTAACTAAAAGATAATATAACTAAAAGAAGCATCAACATTAGGAGAGAGGTTGCTAGGCATGTATATTACCTTCCTAGAGAGGTAGCCTTATATTCGTTTGGGTAACAAGTGGGCTCAGTGACTATGGCAAAAGCGTCAGCCGACACCACAGTCCTGACTCAGCAAAATTCCAGCTCCACTGCTAGGTAAGAGAGTCGTAGTGGCTCAGTTGCCATTTCCCGGTCTTCCAGGAGTACCTCGTGTGGAGGGAGTATACTCTCGGCAGTGTGTCGGCCCCTCTTCTCCCCATGCCGATCTCTAGGCTGGTGTTTGCGTTTTTCCTCTTAATGAGGGGTCAAAGCCCTCCCGGACAGTGGTTGTGGCTGTGCAGTGTTGAACGCGGTTAACGTGGTGAGCGTCCATCTTGGCTCCGCCAGCCGTATGTTGAGCATAGGCCCTCTGAGTGTGACTCTTTGTCTTGGGTAGTGGTGGGTCGTGAGTGGGGGTTCTCTGTGTGTGTGGAGACACAGGCAGGCGGTGTCGGTGTGATCTGCGGCTCTTGAGTCGTGGCATAGCCCTGGTTCTCCTTTGCTGTTTCATTCCGGTTAACGGCTCGGTTGTGCATTTTGGAGCCGGTTTATGTGCCGTGGGGTGATGGACTGTCGGGGATCGTTTTGACTGCATGCATCTGTGCCAGTTTGGCCCCCAGTCATGCCCAAAAGTGGTCGAAGGCTGCTTCTATGCGGTCCTCGTGGGGGATCCCGCTTGCAAGTCGTGCTTGTAGAGGGTGGGTGCAAACCCAGGATCGTGATCGGCACCCGCCATCTTGATTGCTGGGTACGGGTAGCATGCGTTCGCAGAGGCTTGTAGGCTCGCTCCTGTGACCCTGCGTAATGCGGACTGGGATGGCCCCCGTCGGTCCATGTGGGGGAACATGGGCTCAGCAGTAAGTCAGCCGGGTATACAAGCAGCGGGAGAGCGGCCTTGTCCCCTGTGCCGCCCATGTGAGAATTTTGGTGCCGAGTGGGTTGTCAGTGTTTGAGGTGTTCTTGTGTGGGTCTCGGTTTCCTCTGCTCTATATCAGCTTCTAGGAGCCCGATTTGGGTGTCTGTATTGGCAGAATCTGCTTTAATTGTCGGTTGGCTCAGGAGAAACACCTCTAGCAGCCATCTGAGGAGTGGCCAGTGGAGAAATCCTTAGGCTGTAATGTAAACACTGCATTTTCTCTGAAAGACAGTGTTTACTGCAAAAAGCCTAAAGGGAATGATTATACTCACCAGAACAAATACAACAAGCTGTAGTTGTTCTGGTGACTACAGTGTCCCTTTAATAAATGTGGGGTATGGTGATTCATTCACCAAGTTATTGTATTACCATACCACAGCCAAATAGGTGGGAGCAGGGAGTGTTGGGCTGTATTGTCAGTTGTTGGTGGGCCAGCGAGAATTTTATTATTTCCTGATCCAATACAGCAAGACTTGAGGTGGGGATTGGAGGGGTGGTATCTATGGCTCATCTGCTCCTTTATTATTAGTAAATAAATAGTACACGAGTAAATAAACGGTTAACAGATGCAGAATGTGAAGGAAAGAACAATGCACAGCAAAATACAAATATGATAACAATTTAGTGCTGAAATGGTTAAAAACAAGTAATGGTTATTATACATATGTTTGCGTTCCAGTTACAATCGCAAATTGTTATAGTAACCCTTTCAATTCCAGACATGTGCTTGAAAGCTGCTATACAATAACACTTTAAGGGTTAATGTAATATACATTAGATGGGCCATATCAATAGTTGGCATAAATGTTTTTAGATCAGCTGGCGTTAAAAAAAAATAAAAAAATAAAAAATGGATTATGGAGCAGATATTCTTATTGCTGAATTCTGGGGAGATTCCTTGATCTGTGGAGAGGAAATGGTTAACATTTGTATGTATGCAGGACTGCAGAGATGGGTTATATCGATTTATTGCTCTTTCAGGACCTGGGCTGGCTCCTCACTCTCTCCCGAGTGATAAGGTAACATATCTCCACGGGTAACAGACTTTTGCAACATTCCATTATCGGCTCATTGTATTCTTTATCTAATCAAGTTTTCTTTGTAAGTAATTTCCCCATTTGATCACCAGTCCATTAAACAGCACAGGCACAGACTGCTTTTTAAACATTCTTCTTATCTTGAATACAAGTGTATATAAAAAAAAAAATATTAAAAAAAAAAAAGTATCCTTAGCAAAATGAGAAACAGGTTGATAATCGTAAAAAAAAAAAAAAAAGCATTGCATTTCTATAAAAAAACAGGATATTACCACACCTCTAAGGAGCCCTGTGTGGAGGCAAGGAAAGTCCGCCTGTAGTACTCTTAAAAACTGATGTCACATGCAAGGACATCACAAGGAGGAGTTAGCTTACAGTAAGAATGGGCAGTGCAGCCTGCAAGCAGAGGGAATTGCTAGATCAGACAGGGGAATGCATGGAGGGATAAGACTGCCTATTCTGTACAGCACTGAATCCTGAGGAGGAGAATCGCAGATCGCTGTTACAATGCTGGGAACATTTCCACCTATTAGAGAATGAAAGAGCCCTTACTGCTTGCCATGTCAAGGCTGTGTTGGAGCTAATGCTGAATATACTGTAGTAGTGTGGGATTGTGACTGAAATGAGACACATTATGTATTTTGGTAAGTCTGGCTTTATACTATGTTTCAACTTAAAACGTGTTCACTGGGAACTGCTGTGCATGTAATCACTTGAATGCATGCGAGCCAATGTGTAATACGTGCATTGATCTGCAATGCTTTTACTGTGACTGCTCTCATTATGAATGGGGAGTCTGTGTTCCCTCAGATACTGCTTTGAATAAACTTGAGATTCAGCTAAATATTGTTTTAATGTTAAACACAAACCAGAAAGTTATAAACAAAGTTAACTCTTTAGCTGCTGAGCCTGAAGTACATCAATATGGAGACTGCAGCCACCTTTCTCCCTTACATGGTTTTATTTATTTTTTTGCAAGAAATCACTGAACATTTTATTTTACTTTTTTCTTTTTTGTATTTCCTCTGTAGCCACTTTTCTTTTTTTTTTTGGAAACGATGAAAAACTATGTGCTTTGCAGATGTCCATGTATTTGGCAACAAAAAAAATAGCCTCATAAAATATATTAGTTGTTACAAGTCTATAGAGGGCTAGCAGCTTTTTAAATAATGTATTTGTAAGGAGTTGGGTTATATTTTTGCTCAGCAAACGACCCCCGAGCATCGCAGCAAAACCTGCTTGAAGGCTATTAGCATGCTGTAATGTAGTGATGGTAGTGTTAAGCTCTGTGCAATGCACACACTGGTTATATTACACCATTTTACTAGGGTATGAATTAGCATCACTAACCCACCATCCCTGCCAATTGTTTGTTTTTCTTTATGAAGGTATTAGTCAGCTATGCTAGTATTGACATAATAGATTAATGTATATTTTTTAATATAAAAGGTGCATATAATGCAGGATTATAAGCACACTCAACTTGATGTTCACTAATTGGACTTGAGTTGATTTTTGCAGCTGCAAAACTTTCAGCTGACCACATACCTTATACACATAAAAGATGCAACACCATGGTCTATGCTGGTGCTATATCAATTATTTCAGGTGTGTTTGCTAATAAATTGTATTCTGGGTTTCTGTATGTTATCTTGTTTTGCTAAAGTAGTCCATTCCATATTTTTACTCAGTGAATCACTTTTGCTTGCTTGATGTACCCAAAGATTGGATAAATGTAGTGAACTAGATCTGGGAGGTAATGCAGAAAGATGACTTGGTGATTTAAAGACCATTGATATAGCTGGCATAAGGCTTGATTCTTATCTCTCTAACCAATTTTCATATTTCATATATTTATAGTGTGAGTGTTCAGTGCCATTTGTTCTTACTACACTATAGCTTAGAGAGTTAACACAATGCATGCTGGTATATGAATGATTAGAATGGTAGGGATTGATATAATTGAGAAAAATGGAATTGTTACCATATGTGCACATTTTTGCAGTGGTACACTAATCATGCAGTGTTATTATATCTGGGTAAAAAATGTTAGTTTAACATTACATGTAACATGGGACAAGCAGTGCTTGGGAAAGCCAAGTTTATAGAAGATAAGGAGGTGTAATGCAGTTATTCAGATTACAGAAGCACTTAAGCCAAGTTGTCATGAAGCAGCAGAAAATATATCCACATAGAAATCCAGTGTGTGCATCAGACATTTCAATATGTAATGAGTTGCTCTTGTAAAAATACACCTTAACATATACACAACACATATCATATACTAGTGAGAAAATAAATCAATGATTAAAGTGTGGAAGTGGCATGCCTGGAGTGGTGGATGCACTGTTTCTTTATTATTATTATTATTATTATTATTATTAATAAAGCGTCAACAGATTCCGCAGTGCTGTATAATGGGATATATATATATATATATATATATATATATAAACACGTGCACGTTATAGATTGGATTTTTTATTATGAAGCTTGCTACATCATACAGGAACATACTTTGGTAAAGTCTTGGAAAAGAATAATAGGATAAGGATTGAGCAAGTGACGTTGTGAAAGAATGACAAGATTGTTTGTAGAGAATTGCAAAGTATTTCCTTGAATACATCTTATAACAATGGGATTTTGTTATTTCCATGGCAGTATGCTAACTCCTGAAGGGCAAATCAAGGATAAATTGAACCATTTACCCCCTCGCTCTTTGAGACACTTGTTCTGTATAGGAATTCATCATGAACTATACTTTAGAATTTCTTCAATGTCTACAAAAAACGCTGGTGAATGTCATCAAGAATGTGTGCCTGCATGTAGCAAAATGGAAAGCACATGCTAATTAAACAATAATTATAAAATGGAAAATGTATCAGTGCCTGTGCTAAAATGTCATGCAAGAAAACCTCTTTAAAAAAAAAAAAAAAAATCGTCAAACTCCTTATTAAAAAACAACTTGTATTTTTTCACTATTTATATCCTGAACAGAATATTTGAAATTAATATTTTTATGAATAGCTTGTGTTCCAATACCTTGTATGTACACAATCATGCTGTTACTATAAACATATCCCAATCTATTTTCTCCCAATATCAGTCAACTGAAAGTTTACTGCCTTAAATGTTGCCTCGAGAGCAGTTATCTATGGGAAATGTATGGTCAGCTAACTTAAATGGTAAAAGGCCGTGGGAGATGATCAAACATTTGTTTTGTGTTGCACTGTACACGTTTATAAGCATGAACATTATTTTGCAAACTCATTTTTTGTTTCCTAATTGTTCAGATGATTATATTGCTATGCATTGTATTTAATCATTCTCAATGGAATGCGCCAGATTACAAAACAAAAAGAAACAAAATTGATTTAAAGGTAGTTAAATAAAAAACAAAACAGCTAAGAGAGTTTATGTTTTGATGTGATGCGTCTTATAGCAGACATAAAATGTAATATTACTTTCTTCATTGTGGTTTGTTCTCCCTAGGGTGGTGTTATACCAAATGTGACCACAGTAAAGTACTATTTTATTGAAATCTCATTCCTTAGGGATGAAAAGTTAAATCCTTCTCATCGTT